GGGGGGGGGTGGGGTGGGGGGGGGGGGGGGGGGGGGGGTGGGGGGGGGGGGGGGGGGGGGGGGGGGGGGGGGGGGGGGGGGGGTCTGTTTACTTCATCTATGAATGAATCTTGAGTCTACTATTACTTCCTAAAAAAATGAGTCTTCATATTTGAGTAACTCCCAGTCATCAAATTATGCATCATATGAAACTTGTAGTGGTATAAGAGAATAGGAAGTTATTTATGTATGTTAATTACTATCAAATGCGTAGTTTATAACGGCACTCATTTACTCTTTTTGATAATTTTAGTTAGTTTTCATAAACCTATATTTACTAACTAAATAGCATATAGTAAACAATTTATCCGAATAATTGATTATTTATATTATTCTTATGATTTAGTTCTGGATTGGTGGTCTGATCTCTATTGCTATAATTACACTCGTAATCTCGGCTTCTACTTTTTCGAGTGCATTCTATCGTCAATATCCAATAGAAACTACGACCAGTGAAAGTTCATTTGCATGTGATGTGACCCTGCGCAATTCAAAATTTAGTACTACCCTACAAGCTATGCCTCAATATCATAATTCAAACAAGCAAATTCAACCCATGTTTGACTTACTCAATGCACAGCAATTTTATCTCAAAATTGATTTTATTCAAACAGCATTCACTTGTCAAGATTCATTGACCATCTATCGAATTATTGATTATATATTGCATGTTTTACCAATAACAAAATGTGAAACAAGTCATAACTCAAGCATCTTGTCTTTAACGATTGCACTTCCAGCACAAGAAATTACTATTCAAATTATATTGCCAGGAGTTCGAACAGTGGGAGCTATTCGAATTGGATTGATTGGACCATCAAATTCTAGTCAAGATGGCAGGTAAGCAAAATAAAGTAGAAGAATGAGAAGATGTTAATGTAATAGTAGAAAATAGAGTTTATTATAGATTTATTATTTTTTTTTGAAACCATAAATTATATTAGATAATATCTGATCTGATTATAATTGTAAATAGTTGATTCTCATTGATTTCGCTTCATGATATGATTAGTTTTCTGTCAAAGACATTTGTAATTAATAAACTTTCTAATAATATCTGAAATAATATTTGAATTATTCAATTATTAATTTATTTTACAAGGTATACACTTCTTGAACTCAATTTTGCGTCAACATTTATTCCCTTACTGGTAGATCAAGTTCTTGCTCGTTCATCTCTATTTTCTCTTCAATTAACTTCAATTATCAATAAAACAGCTTCATTATCCGTCGATGGTTTGACAACGTTTAGTGGCATTTGGTCATCATCGTATGATGCCAACACAGGTGAAACATTTAATACGGAAAATCGATATACTTTTTTTAAGCGAACACAAACAAGTGTGAATGTGACTATTACAAAGACAATCTTCTATATAAGCAATATACAGGAACCAATAGCTAGACAAACAGAAATTATATTTCGTAACTTTTTATTTGTTATTCTCGTCTTGGAAGCTTTTGGTCTACTATTTCTCATTGTAAAATTATTAATTAGTCCTATGTTTCGTAGGCTTATTGATCGCTGGCAAAAACATACAGTGGCACCAGAAGAAAACACAAAAACAAACAACCACTTGGATATTGTTAATGTTAGTAATATCAATTGATCAGTTACAACAATAAAAATGCATTCTATTGTCAGCACTATTCATCGTAGATATTTGACAATTTCTTTCACACTATCATTTCTCTAATCTGAATAAATGTAATAATCATTTAGAAGAACATTATTATTTGATGTTGTACTACTAACATGCTTCACTATTGTATTAGCAACTGCCTAAAAAACTGATCTAATCTTCTTTGTATATTTTTTTCTGAAAATAAAAAGAATTTAAAACAACATGGTTTGAATAAATTTCAATTATACTGGTTTTTCTGATCAATAAAATAACGAGTAGTGAATAGAGGTATAAGATTCGTATTAGTATTAATCCAATGTTAATGCCAATAACTTTGTGTTAGAAATCCAAGATTAAAGTCTTGTAATTTGTCAAGACTAGGTTATCTATACAACACTTTTTCATTATCTGGATATGTATAGTATGAAAGACAAGTATATGAGTATCAGGGTGGCCAGATCTTCTGAAAAGTAAGGAAACTTTCTGAAATTTGAAGTTCTTTCTGAATTTCTTCTGATCTTCTGATTTTTTCTGATTTCCGTACCATTATCTGATTTCTTCTGATCGTAGTGTTTCCTTCCGAATTTCCCCGAATTCGATACTACTTCAGATCTCAGCTTTGCTATTACAGTTCAGGAAAGTTATAACACATTACCATTATAGATGAATATTGCGCCACTTTTTTCTCAATGATCCATCGGTAATTTCTGAATCACATAGATACGTTCAGCTACAGTAATGCACTAGAACTTTATAACTTTTTTTATTCCGACAGTCTTATCTGATTAAACATGACACAAACAAAAGTTAAACTATTGAATAGAGGATCTTAACATGATTGGAGTTGATTCTGAAGAGAAACAAATCGAAGTAAATTCATCATCATCAGCAACATCATCTCGAGTAAAGAAAAAGAGAAGTTTTTCGTAAAGATTGGGTATCCATCGTGTCTTCTCATTTGCAAACATAAAATCGAAATTCAAAATCTGTTAAATTTAATTGCAATTGTTTTTTAAATTTAATTTATTCAAATTCAAAATAATCTTAGATCTCAAATTTTCTGTTTTCAAATTTCAAAAAAATCATTGACAACAATTTTAATAGAACTTAAACTTTCAATTATATTTTTAAACTTGCTGAAATTTATAGAGTTCGCTAAAGATTGAATTTCATTATTTCAATTTAACTAGCTGTAATTTGTAG